CATGCCCACTTCTGACAGAAGCACTCTGAAAACATTGCAGGTGCTTTTCGTTTGATGGTGGGATTTTTCATTTTTCTTTAATCAAGCATAGTTCACATTTTTGTGTTCTTAGAAACATTTCCTTTCTATGTTTCTATAAAATTAAGAGTCATTTCAAATTTGAAATGTAAGCTCTCTCCATCTTTGCTCATACAAAGTGTAGGTGCCACGACTAAATACCAGTAAAAATGCTGAGATGTACAACTCTTAAAAAAACAAACAAAAAAGCAGCTTTGAAGACACATCAACTACAGCCTTAACATTGAACATATTACATTCCCAAGTTAATGGAGAAAATTTGCATATAATGCCACAAAGTTATTCAGCTGAAATCTTGAGGTTGAATCTACAGTTTATTCACTGTATTTTTTTCACCCTTAGAGCACTTATGTATTGTACGGTACATTTTATTCAGAGCTTTTGCAACAGCTTTTCTTTTTATGTCTGGACGTCCATTTACCTACAAATCCCAGATTTCAAAAGTTTCAAAGTAAAAATGCGAGCGCTTGACTTAAACATTTGAAGCTGGACATTTCCATGCCTCGGAGCAGCCTGTGGGACACGCTTCAGACTCTTAGGCGTCGTCCGGCCTCCTGGCGCCCTCCGAGCGCACAGAAAGCCCCGCTTTAAAATGCATTGACACATCTGGTTTCAGAACACAGGTCTGTTTATAAAACTGTATACTGAGTACTCTGCATTAATTTTACTTGAGTTGCATTTTGTAACATGAGCAGATGACTTCACCCCCCCCCCCTTTTCCTCCACCCTGTCTTAGCTTGAAACGACAGTAGGCACCTGCGCGATCAAGGTGTCAAAGAGTTTCTGTCCAGAGAGAGGATTTGCAGTTTCTTCATCATCTTTTCTTCTGTAGACAGTCCTAGGAAATTACTAGCATTAAATAATTTTGGACAGGAGGATAAAGCTCACTTTCTTTTCCTGTTATGAAAATGAACTTGATTTTGGTGTCCAGTTTGATAAACAAGGATAGTCAGAGCTAATCTGTAACTCAGCTGAGGTCTGCTTCTTGCCAAATAAAATTAAGATCTTTTTCAACTTTCAGGGATTTAGAGACCGCATCTAATTGGTTTCAAACCCCTGGAGAAACTCAGTAAGTAAACAGGATTAGTTGCAGATATGAGCCCACTAAAGTGGGACACAGGTCAGGTCTTCAGACTCCAGCTCTGCTCTGTCGAAGCAGGCACTTAAGGTCTCCTGATGTTTCTGTGTCAGTAGCCGCAAAAAAACGTTTTACTGCTGAGAAAATCATTGGAACAGCAATTTCCTGCAAGCCCCAAAGATTTAACTTCACAATTCTATTAAAAAAAAGTATTTGAGTTGACATGTATTAGGGTATTGTGATTATGACGTGATGGCACAACTGGTAACTTGAAAACGCATGTTTACAAGGCATAGGCAATCATATTTCCATCTGTTCTCCTGTAGGTATAGCCAGGTGTCCTTCAAGAAGTTGCCATCTTGACTCCACGTATGTACCATGTTGAATCGTTTACTCCATCAGTTCTTGCCAGCAGGACAGGGTGAGAACTTTGTTCACTCTGACCTTGTCTTTCAGTTCCCTCCCAGCCATCCGGAAAATGCAAGGAAAATCAACACAACTGCGCAGGCTTTAGCAGCTCAAGTAACTGCCCTCGTAAGTGTAAGCAGGTAGGTCTTTGACAGTGTATTTGCTCTCCAGAGATAAAATAATCCAGCCAGCTGCATTAATTAACAAAAGAACCTAATAGACTTTGACCCTCATTGAAGTTAAGAATAACAACGTGATGTGATGACAGATACAACTTGCAGAGTTTCTGAAAATAGCAGGTTAAAATGTAAATATCTTTTAATAAATAATTTTCCTGCAGTGTAAAAATAAATGATATTTCCTTTGGCAGTAATAGCTGATTTAATCTTTAGCTGGGAAGTTGTTTTGCTCATAAAATAGCATTGTGCTACAGAAAAAAAAAATATTATTTTGTTGTTTTAAAAGACTTTTGTAATCCACGATAAACTGGGTGACTCTACTTATGTCCGAGATAAGCGCCAAGAGTGATGCAAGCTCCCACCAGAACCAGACTCAGGATAGTCTTCAGAGAAATCCAGGAGAAATCGAACAAAGGCCTCATACTGTTGCCATACAACTCCACGAAGGCATCCTAGAAAGGGAAATAACGGAATATTAGAATTGCAGTAACTTCTTCAGAGAGGGAGGGCAACTTCTTCATGCTCAATGGTCGTCCAGCAATCACGCCGGCACAAAAAACCCATTCAAACCTATTAAAATAGTGATTTGAGAGCTATGTTTTTGTGCAGTGCTTAGCACAAAGTTCTCCTGCCTGTTTCTTTACAAATACTGCTGTAATTACCTACAGTCATGAATTCTGCTTTAGGCATGCCCAGTCTAACAAAGTATAGGAGCAGCATTTTTAAATACGAGTACCACCATTTTGGCTCCTGAATGTTGTATATACAAACATACACAAGGGAGGTAAATGGACCTTCATTCTCCAAACCTTTCATTTCCGCTGGACATGGGGCATCTATATTGCTGGTCGGCTTCACCGAAGATAAGGCAGTATTTACTTGCTTCCCTTGGAATGGGTTCAGAAGACTTATGTGTAGTTAGCCACAGATGTTTCTTCCATACGAACTGAAGCTGTTAGGGTTGTGTTACACCTTTGACCATCTTTTACAACTGTCACCAAAAGGGGTGACACCTTGGTCCTCTGCTCCTGCTAATCATGCCTTGGATGTGGCAGCGGTCTGGTTGTAGGGTCCATTGGGCCAACCAGCTGATCTGACAGTCCTGCCTAAAAAAGAGCTATCTTGCCATGGGATCGTCTTATCAGTCTGACTTGCCCTCCAGCCTACAGCCAAGACATTCAGCTAGAGGAAGAGGAGGGGAAGCATACAGTGATGCCACTTCTCATGGCCGCTGACAAGTCACCTGGTGTGAGGTGTAGGGGGAGTCCTCTCCTCAGCCCAGCCCAAGCCACCCTGGGTTTCTCCTTTGAGCTGCGGTTCTCCATGTATGGAGAGCTGTTTTGTAAAGCTGCTCCAGGAAAGTCTGGAGGTGCGTGTAGGCACCGAATGGAAAGGCTGTTTAAGTAGCAAAGATAAAGTTTTTGTGACTCATAAATACAGTGGGATCTGACTGGACCAGTCATCAGGCTGGTGACACTCTGCACGTAACACCTTTCTTTCAGGCTGCAATTCCTAACAAACATGAAGCTTCAGAGCATTCCTGAGAGATAGATAAATCATACTGTATGGCATGAAAGCAGTAAAGAGCAAACCTGAATAACTTTAAAAATGTGACAAAAATGATAACATCATTTAGGGCAACTCTTTTATTGTGCAGCCAGTCAAGGTCTGCTCCCAAACTACTGAGATAAACCCATGAAATAGTTATCTAATGTCAGGGTTTCCATCTCTGCCTTTATTACTCTAGACTTCCTATTTTTGGTAGAAGTTAACATTCTCCATTTATGTTACAGTGCCTTTAGCTGTTCTGTAATGTTATTATGTTAGGAGGTAACCTGCCTTCTAAAAATGCATTTAT